TGAAAGACTATTGAAAGACTATTGAAAGATTATTGAAAGATTATTGACAGACTGTTCAGTACAGCAGGACAGATTCTCCCACAAGATCCAGACTGGACTCAAAAATCTTTGAAAACAACTTCTTCTGAACTTGAACAAGAACTTCTTGCTGCAATATTAAAATGTGTCAGTTCATGATGTTAGGAGACGAGACATGTCTCCAAGTGTCTCGACACTCGGGTCCAAGTTTTAAAAATGTTGTCAGGAAGTTAAAATATTGTTCAATATTGACCCATTACAAGGTTGAATAGACATATTTTAACTGGAGCTGATGACAAACTGGAGTTGAAATGATCAGATGTTCTTTATGTCTAATGCTCCTTTTGTTCATCAGACAACTTTTACTTAAATTATTTACTGCAGTTCAAATGACACGTTGGTTTTGATTTGTGTTAAAAACTTTCAAAGGTATAATCATTCCTCTTTCTTGTTTTGATTAATGACATTTAACTCTGCAGGTCATCCCTGAAATTCTGACGCACAGAATCACAAGTCCAGATGTGAACTGTGTCACAGAGTAAATAAACACAATAAAAACATGTATTATCTGCAGCATCGGTCAGTAAAACGGATCAATACTATTAATGTATTACAGAAAATATACATATGGTACGCAGGCTTAATGATACTGTAGACCATTACATTAGGTAATACATTCAGGAAGTACTTGTACTTTTAATACTTTAAGTATTTTTAAAGAAAATACTTATTTACTTTTACTTAAGTAAAAATGTTAATGTGGTACTTCTACTTTTACTAGAGTACATTTTTGTCAGTTTATTTGTACTTTTACTTAAGTACAGTGTTTGAGTACTTCCTCCACCACTGTTGGTTACACACAGACTGATATATTTCAAATGTTTGTTTCGTTTAATGTTCATGTTTAGAAGTGACAAATCAGCGACCTCAGTTTTTTGTCCTGAAGTGAACACCTCTTACTGCGGAGCTGCAGAGGCTTTGCAGTCAAATTCTCTGGGGTAGGACCCTCAGACCCCCCACCCGGCGCAGTAAAGGTTGGGGACCACTGTCCTACATTCCGTGCTGCACTTTGGTCGTTCAACACCTTCACTTTAGAGAAACAGAGTCTGACACGACTAAGATCCAGGACCCATGTGGACCACTGTCACCTTAAAACCGCTGAACGATGGGCCCGGTCCACCACGTCCCCGTCGCTGAGGGACTTGAAGAGTCGAGTGTTTTTCTGCTCTGGACAGAGAGTGTAAGTAAACCTACATGTTTCTGATGAAAGATATCTACGGTGGGACGAGTTGCTCGTTTTTCAAGTTACGCAGCTCAGAAGACAAACATTTATGGCAGCAGCCATCTTGGATTGTGATGCAGCCCACTCCAAAAAGGAAGTCAGTGTCTCACTTCATGTTCACGTTATGATCACAACATGCACGGACGGACGGACTGTATTTTCCATCTCTCCTCTTGGCTCCGAGACAGGAGACGGTAAACGTTGTTTACGCTGCATTAGGAGGTTTGAAAGAGTGAAGCAGCTCGACTGGAGCTGGTTCAGAGACGACAGTTGAGGTTCGTGTCGGTCTTTTCTGTTCTTCAGCTGTAAACCATCAACTGGTGGATAATTCACAACTTAAAGATCATTCAAGTGATAAACTGCACTCCTTCATACATTCAGAGGCAGAGGCGGGGCAGAGGCGGGGCAGAGGCGGGCCAGAGGCGGGCCAGAGGCGGGGCAGCTGACTCAGGACCTGGAAGTCCCAGGTTCAATCCCCAGCCAGTCCCACATGTCGTGGTGTCTCTGAGCAAGGCACCCAATCCCCAATTGCTTCCCAAGTGCCTACATAGCTGCCCACTGCACCACCTGGGCGCATCCCAGGTGTGATGGGTTAAATCCAGAGAACTAGTCTCACCGTTGAATGGGAACACAAGGACGACAACACACAACACTTGTTGTTATTTAGATAAATCGTTTAGAGCATCAAGTTATTAAAGAACATTTCTAAAATAAAAACATCACTGCATTAGTATTCTGATTTTTATCACTACAAACCTTTGTGTTGTTAAATTTCTCCACAGGACTCTAACATTGGACTCAGGTAAAGACACAGCAAGAACAGAAAGAAATGTCTCCATGCTTCCTCCCAGGAGAAGAAAGAACACAAAGAACACCAACCCAAGTGAGGAAGGAGCCATCACAGCAGCAAAGGTCGAGCATCAAACACAAACAACACGAGGGACACCACCTGACGGACAGGAGACGACAAACGAGCGGGAGGACTCACGGATGAGACGCGGAAATAGAGTTCAAGGGTGTGGACGACAGAAAAAGACAAGAGACACAGGAAGCAGGGAGGACTGCATGGCCGTCCTCACCAGCTATAAATATAAGAAAAGGTCAACAGTTGTCTGGAGCAGAAATGTTCCTCGGGGGAGTTGCACTCATCTCATCACCGAGTAAGAGTGAGGACGAAGGGACCGAGCGACTCAGAGAACATTGATGGAGGGAACTGTCCACACTCACCTGCAAGGTGGACGACACGTTGGACAGAGAAAGGCCTTCGAGGTCAGACAGGAGACTTGAAGAGATGACTGGAGGCTGCGGTGCGTTCGAAGGCACAGGAGAAACTGTAAAAATAATGAGACTAAAGCTGTGACACCAGTTAAATTAAATTTGAAAAGGTCAGCTACAATTTACAAACTGGGTGTAATAAATGTTGGTTTAGTCACGGCTGAAGAATGGGCGACTAGTTCATTAATTAACTAGTAACTAACCCGAGGAAGGCTGCTGGACCTGACCCCGGACGTGTTCAGAGAGACTGCGCACACCAACTAGCTGGAGTCATGGCCAGGACTTTCAACAGGTCATTGTCCCAGTCCATGGTCCCAGCCTGCCTGAAGACATCTACAATAGTCTCCATAGCCAAGAAACCCCCAATGTCCTGTCTGAAGGACTACCAGACAGTTGTCAGGAGTCACTTCACTCCCCACAACCCCTCGACCCCCACCACTTTGACTACAGAGCTAACAGATCAACTGAGGGTGCCATGGCCACAGCCCACCATGTTTCTGTCCCACCTGGACAAAAGAGAGCTATGTGCAAATGCTCCTTGTAGACAACAGCTCTGCTTTCAACACCATCCTCCCCGACAAACTGGTGGACAAACTGGGGGAACTGGGACTTCCACACTCCACCTGCACATGGGTAAACAGTTTCCTGTCCAACTGCAGTCAGAGGATTTGGGTGGGCCATCACACATCCATGGCCCTCAGCCTCAGCATGGGAGCTCCACAGGGCTGTGTGCTGAGACCCCTGCTCTATGCCCTCTACACAAGACTGCACCCCTGCTCACCAAAACAACACCATAGTTGAATCCAGGCTCGACTACTGCAACTCCCTGTTTACTGGAATACCCGGCAAAAACCTTCAGAAGCTTCAATATATTCAAAACAGTGCAGCCAGGATTTTATTGAGAGCTCGGAAATTTGAACATATTACACACATTCTCCATAACCTCCACTGGCTTCCTGTCACCTACAGAATTCAGTACAGAATTGCTCTCATCACCATCAGTGTTTATACTGAAATTCACCAGATTATCTGAAGGACCTTCTTGCTCCATATTCATCCACCCGGTCCCTATGATCACAGAACAGTCATCTCCTCCACCTTCCACAAACTAAATTAAGGACCATGGGAGATCGGGCATTCTGTGTGGCTGCCCCCCCACCTCTGGAACTCCCTCTCTGAATATCTGAGAGCTCCACAGTCATTGACTGACTTTAAAAAAGGCTTAAAGACTTTTCTTTTTAAGCAAGCCTATTCTGCCTCCACATTATTTTATCATCGATTTTAGTTGATTTTATCATTGATTTTATCATTGATTGTAGTTGATTTTATCATTGATTGTAGTTGATTTTATCATTGATTGTAG